GAGTGTGTTGTGTTGAATGTGAGTGTGTTGTGTTGAATGTGAGTGTGTTGTGTTGAATGTGAGTGTGTTGTGTTGAATGTGAGTGTGTTGTACCTGAATGCGTTGTGGTGAACCTGAGTGTGTTGAACGGGACAGTTGAGCCTGAGTGTGGTGTGTTGAACCATGACCCGGTTGAATCTTGAGTGTGTTGAACGGGACAGTTGAGCTGAGATGTTGGTTGTGCTGTGGCTCCACAAATGCGGGTTTATTTTTGCACAAATGTTGATGATGTGGAGCCAGGCTGAGGTTGTGTTGATATTGTTGCTGAGGTTGTGTTAATTCTGATGTTGTTGTTGTTGTTGTTGTTGCTATGATGGTCTTGTGGCTGCTGGGGTTGTGTCAATACTGATGTTGTTGCTACGGTTGTGGTGATGATGTTGTTGTTACGCCGATGTTCTGGCCGCTGTGGTTGTGTCCATGTTGATGATGATGTTGCTATGGCGATGTTTCTGCTGCTATGGTTGTGTTCGCTGCGGTTGTGTTTGAGGTCCAGAGACACCCTCCGACCGGCCGTTTGGTGTGACTGTTCCCTACCATTTCGAGTATCTTTGTCTGTCTGCTGGGATACTGTATCCCTCTCAGCACGGGTCTGTCTACTGGGATACTGTATCCCTCTCAGCCCGGGTCTGTCTACTGGGATACTGTATCCCTCTCAGCCCGGGTCTGTCTGCTGGGATACTGTATCCCTCTCAGCCCAAGTTAGCGACCCTGCCCACCTTCCAAATGATCTAAATTGTATCAATGGCGGTGTAAAAACGCCCATATTTGAGATGTCTCCTCACCTTCATTTAGCTGTAGAATCAGTGTCTGTAGCAGATGGCCTATTTTGTATCAAAATTGTTCAATCGAACTTTGGAAAAAGTTTTCAGCTGTTTGTCTTCTCTGGCAGACTTTGTGGCTGGAGAGGGTTTTTCTGTGGGAAATCATTTTGTGGGGAGAATTGGTAGCTAGCTGTAGATGTAGATGTTTGTGGTGACTGTGGTGGTGAGGTGGGTGGTGAAGTGGCTGTAGTTGTCATGGTGGTGGTACTGCGAGGGAGATGTTTCCCTCTGGGTGTGAGGGGTGTTGCATGACACTGTTGGGTCTTTGCCAGGATGGGGGGGGGGTGTCAGCGAGGGGTTGGGGGAGTTTGGCTGGACAGACCGCGGGAAAGGGGGGAACTTTGATGTGGTTGGGTCAGGAAGGGGGAACTTTGATGTGGTTGGGTCAGGAAGGGGGAACTTTGATGTGGTTGGGTCAGGAATGGGGGAACTTTGATGTGGTTGGGTCAGGAATGGGGGAACTTTGATGTGGTTGGGTCAGGAATGGGGGAACTTTGATGTCACTGAATGTGTAGGGGGAAATTTTGATGTATATTGAGTAAAAAGTGGGAAATTTGATGTACATGAAATGTGAAAGTGAAGTTTTCTTGTACATTGAGTCTGGAAGGGAGAAATGTTGAATTGATTGTACATAAAGTCTCAAGATGTGTGTCTGTGTGAGTATCTGTCAGTGTGTGTGCGTGTGTCAGTGTGTGTGTCAGTGTGTGTGTCAGTGTGTGTGTCAGTGTGTGTGTCAGTGTGTGTGTCAGTGTGTCAGCCATGTACAGAAAGTCTCGCGACTTAAGCCTTTGCTTTGCCTTCCCGAGCCTATGTGTATAGATCCACGCCCGGCCCTTGTGTGTGTGTCGTGTCTTGTTGTCTCTGTCAAGTGCCGGCTGTCGCTCTCTGTATATAGATAGATATATATCTGTGCTATAGTGTTCACATTTATTTGTATGTATGTCTGTGTATATATTTATATATATATAATATATATATTTATATACAAACCTGTGCTATAGCGCTCACGTTTATGTATATATATATATATATCTGTGCTATAGCATTCACATTTATGTATGTATGTATGGCATCGTGGTGAAATCAGGCAATCATGAAAAGAAAGAAATGGAAGTTGTTGTTGTTGTTATTGATCCAGCAAGAGAAATGGAAGAAAATGGCAATTTTTATCGATTTTTTTTTTTGGCTCAACATCTTTTACGTCCATTTATAAACACATTGCTGTTTGGCTTTTACTGAAAAACGTGGATGAAAGGCTCAAAACGTGTACGTTTACAGTTCCCAATGACTCTCAAACTTTGGAAGTCACAAAACTTGGGCAGCCATTTCTCTCATTTTACCTCTGAAACCAAGTGACCCCCACCTCCTTCAATCCAAAATATTCCAAGTTCTATAGGAGATAGGTAGGTGATTTTTTCATCGAAAGCAAGACAAATGAACAAGCTTTAAGATGATCACCATCATCATCAATGCCTTCCACCCCTGGCAGGGTATAGGCCACATACAAGCTCCTTCCATTTATCTCTGTCTCGGGCCATCCTTCCTAGCTCGTTCCTAGTGAGCTTCATCTTTAAGATGATACCGTACCAATAACTCTATATGCCCAAACATTGATGAGTGCCTGATTCCACCACGTCATGACTCACACACACACATATATATATATATATATGTATAT